CCGCCTCGCATCGCCTACCGCCGCCGCTGCATCCTCCGTCCTCCCCTCGCTGCTTCATCTGGTGCCGCCTCCCATAATCCAGAGGAGGGCTCCATATGGTGGTGCAGCGCTTGATCCGGAGCAGCTCTGATGTTGGACACGATGGCAAGCCAAGGGATTTTACCACCAGCATCTCCTGGCCACCCTCATCACCCCCCTGCTGCCTCCTCTACCATCTCCTGCTTTGAATCAGGTTTGTCCAAATCTTTTGCTTGCTCCTTATATTCCATCGATCTGTTTCTCTATTCTTAATTGGACTATATCCATTAGGAAAAAAAGTTGTATTAGCTTATTGCTAATCTTCTACAAGTAGAATAATATAGGTTGGTTTCCCTTGCTCTAGAATGATCTAGCATCTGCTGTTATGCATGCTTGGGGTACTGCATTTTAATAGTTGGCTGAAAGCCTTTATCTAGCTTTGCAGTGTAATGTTTACATTTTCCTTTGATCAATTTCAGATTTTTTTTAAAGGAAACAATACACGGTGTACTCAATCTCTGAATGATGAGGTCAGTGACAAGGTACCATGTCTATTGATAAATTTGTGCCACAGTTTCAGATTTCATACCGAACTGTGTCGATAAACCTGTAAACTCCTCACCATCAAAAAATATTGTAAAGATAGGGGACTAAAACATATGCAAAATAGTTAATATGGACTTATATTTTTCAGCCGCCTAAGATTTTCTGAGTACACCAATCATCCAACTGAATTTTGAATTTACTCTAAGTACCAGATGTGCAGGGTGTTCATTACACTTAAGATTGACACTTACCATTTATTTTGTATGCATGCATGTTTTATTTTTGGTCATGAGCTCAGAGAATCGATCATTCCTTTTCTGCATGGTCAACAAGGCCTTTAATTGCTAGCTTGCTGATGATAGTCTAGCAATTTGGTCCAGCACAAAAATGTTAAGTTTATGAGGAATCTGTTTATTTGGAAAGGAAAAATTGTTGTTAGTCATAGATGGAGGCTATAGCCCAAACTAATGTTTTTTTCTAAAGAAAAGATTTCTTTAATTTAGTAATATACTAGAAAATAGACGTGGCTTTGCCGCATAATGGACCAACCAGTATAAAATAATCCATCTGTTTCATATTGATCAACGTTTAACACAAATTAAAATTTTCAAATTGATCATCACCCCCTTCGTTAGACATGTAATATTATTGCATTTAAGCATCAAAATTGAGTTTGCGCATGAATGTAGGAATTTGAGGTAGTAAAGCTATCATTTCTTATATATGGGGCTCAGAAGGAGTTAAAGTGTGCGTGTTTCTTGATTTTTCCCTATCACATACTTACATTAAAATGAAATATAGGAAAGTTAATACTTTTTGTTGGTCTAGGTGAAAAAAGTTATATAATAATCAATATGGAATGTAGGGAGTCTGATACGTACACCTAATTTCTTTATTTATTTAATGCCTCAAATGATGAAACTTTACCCTTTTATTCATATATTAATTTAAAGCAGCAAGACATTGAATTCATGGACATAAGTTGGAAGTCGAATATATGCGCAAAAATTCCAAATTCCTATGAACCAAAGTAATGAAACGGCTTATTCCCATTTTATCTCTCCTCACAGTGGCGGAGCTAGAAAGATTTTTAACCCTAAGCAAACTTCACTTCTAGTAATTGTTGTATAAATTTCATCATCAATTCATTCAATAACATATAAATTTAGTGGAGTTTTTGTCGGTGAGCATGCGCGGCCACCTGGGCTAGCCAGGCGGTGGCTCCGCCCTTGCCTCTGTATGTCTATAAAAATCGAGAAAATCTATTATTTTAATAACACAATTCGAATGCATCTGTCTATAAATGTTATGCAATTCAAATGTTTTCTCAAAGGATTTTTTTCTTCTGTAAGAAAATACTGCATTAAGTTTTAATGCAGATATATAAGTTTTTGGTAGTAGCATTTTTTTATGGTGAGAAATAATGCATTACATTTTGAATGCACGTGTATACTACTGTGCATTCAAAATTTGCACGTGTATATTACTGTGCATTCAAATTTTAAGTTATTATTAAGAACATTTTTTCCTTGTGCAAAATGTACATAGAACACAATGCATCTATATATGATGCTGTAAAGATAAATGTATTCTGTGTTTTCTGGCAATGTCGTACATATATTTGCCTTTTGAGCAATTCATAAGTGTTGCAATTTAAATCTAAATTTAAACCCAAGCAACTAGTACTCATGGTACAACAATTTTCAAAAAGCGGGAGAACTCTGAAACAAAAGATACATTAAGAGCATATTTTGAAACGAAGTACACCATTTTTTTTGTTGAAGAAATCATTACTACGCAATACTCTGCAATTTGAATGTACTTTGGGAGATCATATTTTTTATTACATTTCTGAATGTTTGTATGCACTACTATGTTAAAATGATTTTTTTTGTGATATAAATGTATCTGAGAGTTCATTTGGTATCAGCATAATATATACTGTTCATGGAAATGTATTTCACTTCCACATTATCATTTTTTAACTTCTGTGAAAAGGGCGTATGGAAAATGTATATATGTGCACCTTGGCTCTACCAATTGGGTCATTGAGCATTTGTTTTTTAACATTATTTTAAATCATGCATCATGCACAAATACTTGTACTCCATTTTTGCACAGTGGTTTGTATACGCATGCACCGTGGTGCAGTTTAAATTTGAAATGGCCCCGTCCCAAAGACATGGGTCCCAAGCCTAACAATTGAATCTAATCGCACAGTTTCTGGAATTACATGCCACTCTACAACACTTTAACTGCTCATTGGTATAAACAAGCACGTATCTCAAAGCGGGCTAAATGGTCAGGATAACAGGTGCAACTGCAGTTGGGTGCTCATCGGCGTTTCCGTGTAGGAAATGGTGCGGGAGAGAGCAAGGTGACACGTGGCAGATTTTCACGAGAGGCGAAGCTTGATTTATATGACGCTACGTGGCCCAATCTCTGGTCCGGGTTAAAACCCTGAAATCGGTATTAAAGAAAGATATGTGCATACTTTGGAGGGTGACCATATTTTTTCCTCATAGTTCCTAGCAAATATATAGAATTGTCCTCTTTGTTTAAACTTAATTGAGAAGACATTATGACAATTTTCAAGTTAAAGCACTAGGGGCTTCCCATTTGGAGGTGTGAGTCCCCTTCACCTCTGTTTCTCCTTGACGCGATCTACACCTTTCTTTTTTTGGCTTCCAAATCTTCTATGGTCTTTGCTCTCCATCCTGATTTGTTGTATGCTTCTTCTGTGCAATGAAGCTAACAAAAAGTCCAAAGCAGAGCTTTGCTTCAGAGATTCTAAATTCAGTTATTTTAGCTATTGTAACATGTAATAGTCATTTGTTTATTGTGTTCTTGGCTCAACGTGCAGCTCTCCAATTATGTTCCCTTTTTCGTTACAACAATTCAGTTTAATGTGGACCCAGGTTCTAGAATGTTTTATGTATAATGTTTTTAGTTGAATAAATATCCATAATCCATATATGACTATGCATAATTTCCAGTGAAGAAAGTACTATTGATTGCTACTACAAATTAATAGTAGTGTCATGCTGTAGGTTTAGGATTCAAGGAATAATTGGATTGCGCTTTTGTAAGGTAACCAGAGTTAGATAGTAGTTATCTTCTTTCTGAAAATGATGGCAGTGCCAACATCCATTATTTCTAAACACACATTTCTATTCTTTCAGTTCACTCCCATGATACTGAAGGATCTGATTCTGATTGCAAACTAGACAATTCAAGGGTATACCCTTTGTTTTCTCCTTTAGAGAAGGAAACTCTGAAAGATTTTATTCACTATCGGAATAATAATAGTTGTTATTCTTTGTTACAATCCTTACAAAAATAACATGGTAGTTCTTACTTTATACACTCAACCTATTTGTAGGTATGTTTAGCTTGAGGATTTTTCATTTTCCAAAAAAATTACTATGCATTTTATATTGTGTTGTTGTAGGTTTGTAGAGGTAAAGTCGATGTTCTTTACAGAGTTTGCCCTACTTGCAAGGTGTGGCACATCTTTCTGGCCGATCTCTTACAAGTTATAGTTATGTGGCATAAGAAAGATGTATCAGTTTTTATGTATTTGGTCATTGGATTACGAATGATGTCTGGGAGATTTTATAATGATACAACATATGGAGTGCAGGTTTTATTTTTTAGATTCATCTCCAAAGAGACCTGCAAGATCTCCCTTTTGAGGTCATGAAGCTCCCCTTTCTTGCCTCCCTAGGCTTGGGGCCTCGACTCCCTCTCCATCGATGGAAAGCTACTGAGGCAGCCAGCCGACAGAAGACATAGAGTTGATCAAGAAACAACAGCACATGCATAACAAGTGATGATTGTTCTTAAAAAAAAAGACAAGTGATGATAGAAATCTAAGGATGTTTGGGCATATGCTATGCTGTATATGTATTATGTTATCGTTTCATTGGTTTTTACCTGTTTTTCTTTTAACTGAAGGTGGTTGGTATGTCAACTCCGCTGCTACCACAAAAGATAATCTTAGCATGACTATAAAACCCCGATAGAGCGCGCATCGCGTCGTAATGTCTAGTTTTGTAAATGGTAAGGGAGATTTTACCCTTAGCCGTCGCTGGCGGCAGCGTCCAACCGGACCACACCACAATACACTTGTCCGTGGCACACGGATTCGCTGTCCAAGAAAATATCCACGCCGAGTCGCTAGTCGTCACCACCCGCCGCGGCCCGCGAGCAGAGGAACAGCGAATCTCCATCGACAACCGCGACCGCACCCACCCACCAACTCCCCACTGACTCCGCAACCCCACCACCAACTCCCCACTGACTCCACGACCCCACCATACCCTGGAGGCCGGGACCACCCACGCGTTTCCACCCCACCCCCACCCCCAAGCCAGATCCGAACGCCACACGCGATCCCCCGCCGGCGTCGCCGTCGCACTCCGTCCGCACCCGATCCCCACTGTCACAACTCGCAAGTCGCAACGCGCGCCTCGTCACGCGATAACCGCAGCGGCGGGTCGCGGTCGCCCCTCGGTCGTCTCCGCGGAGCGCGTCTACTACTCGTGCGCTTCTGCTTCCTGTTCAAACCCAACGCTCCACCACATCGCCTGCGTTCCCCACCCCGACTGACCCAGCCTCCAGTAGCCATGGGCAACCGCACGTCGCGCCACCACCGCGCCGCTCCCGAGCAGCCGCCGCCCCAGCCCAAGCCGAAGCCTCAGCCGCAGCAGCAGCAGCAGCAGTGGCCGAGGCCGCAGCAGCCGACCCCGCCGCCGGCGGCGGCGCCGGACGCGGCGATGGGGAGGGTGCTGGGGCGGCCGATGGAGGACGTCCGCGCGACCTACACCTTCGGGCGCGAGCTCGGGCGGGGCCAGTTCGGGGTCACCTACCTCGTCACCCACAAGGCCACGGGGAAGCGCTTCGCCTGCAAGTCCATCGCCACGCGGAAGCTCGCCCACCGCGACGACATCGAGGACGTGCGCCGGGAGGTGCAGATCATGCACCACCTCACGGGCCACCGCAACATCGTCGAGCTCCGGGGCGCCTACGAGGACCGCCACTCGGTCAACCTCATCATGGAGCTCTGCGAGGGCGGGGAGCTCTTCGACCGCATCATCGCCAGGGGGCACTACTCCGAGCGCGCCGCCGCCGCGCTCTGCCGCGAGATCGTCGCCGTCGTGCACAGCTGCCACTCCATGGGGGTCTTCCACCGGGATCTCAAGCCGGAGAACTTTTTGTTCCTCAGTAAAAGCGAGGACTCGCCGCTCAAGGCCACTGACTTCGGTCTTTCCGTTTTCTTCAAGCCTGGTGCGTGCTCGAGGCTTCACTATCTCATTACAGAGGAATGGATCGCGAGATATTTCATTGTTCCAGTGTTTGACTTCATGAGGATTTTGGGTTTACTTAGATCGAGTTGTTGGGTTTGACAGGTCTGAAAGTTTCACCGTTACTAGAATTAGGGGCTAGATGCAACGCTGCAAGTGCCATTATGTTTATACTTATAGATGTTCCAGATGCAGTGTTCTAGTTAGCATTGGATCCATCCACCTTACTCCACTATAGCTTGGGCAATCTCTGTGTTTGCGTTTACCGAGATGGCATTGTACATTTGCATGATTTGCACTTTAGGCACTGGATATTTTCCCCACTGGTAGCTAAATGCTGGCGGCATAGCATGCAAGATCTTCAAAAATGCACTCAGCAATATCAGAAATGCCATCTGAACTTAGTGGGTGAAGCTTGACTCTTCATTATGCAGAAATGTTGGTGACGGTGGAGGATTTTGTTGTTTTAGTGTTTTTCTTTTACAATGATGGTGGGGGATTCTTCATTCTGAACTTGGCTTTATTTTTCTTACACTTGGCATGTGCAAACTGAGTGCTATATGTCCCGTAGGGCCTCGTTGCTAAGTGCTACAAGATCTATTGCACTGGAACTCGTGGTTATGGACCCGAATTCTTTAGTATGGAACAATGTCTTTCCAAGTAAAAACCCCCAGTATATGAAAGAATGGAAAGGTGTTTTCGTTCTTTTCTTGTGGAATAAGAAGCCTCATACCTTAGTGGAAGGAAAATAAGATTTTTTTTTTCAATTAGGTATTTGACCAAATAGGATCGTCTGGTTCCTATAGAACCTATCACTAAAATACTCAATAGGACTAAGTGGAACGAAAAGGATTTTCCTTGAGATGGTAAATGAAAATGCCTATTGTGGATGTTGCAGGGGAGCATTTTAAGGACCTTGTTGGAAGTGCGTATTATGTTGCACCTGAGGTGCTGAAACGAAACTATGGAGCAGAGGCTGACATATGGAGTGCTGGCGTTATTCTTTACATCCTTCTTTCTGGTGTTCCACCTTTTTGGGCAGGTGAGGTGACGTTTGCCGCTTCTTATTTCAGTCAACTTTTTTTGCTTCTGTTGCTAACATAGATGTTCTACCTTCATTTTTTCAGAGAGTGAAGATGGTATATTTGATGCCGTATTACGTGGTCACATTGATTTCTCGTCTGAACCTTGGCCTTCGATATCCAATGGTGCAAAAGATTTGGTTAAGAAGATGTTGCGGCAAGACCCAAAAGAGCGCCTTACTTCTGCTGAAATTTTGAGTAAGTCCACCATAGCTCTTTAATGGCATTCTTATCAACAGAAAAATGCACACTTGTCTAGTAGTTCAGTAGCAAATTGAGATCAAACAATTCTTCTGGTTTCTTCCTATTGTACTTTTTCATGCAAAAGCCTTGACCTGTAGCTAGTAGTTACTGTAGTATCTCAGAGCGAAGACGCTCACTTTTACTGTCCCATTTTTTTTTAAAGAGTATTCGGGTCTTTTTAATAGATAATTTCTGCTCTTGTTTCTATATAAACCGAGTTATCATTTTTACTGTTTGCAAATATAGTTAATGCACCTAATACTTTAAATATACAGACCACCCATGGATTAGAGAGGATGGAGAAGCCCCAGACAAGCCACTTGACATTACAGTTATCAGCAGGATGAAGCAGTTCAGGGCAATGAACAAGCTTAAGAAAGTTGCATTGAAGGTGTCTTCTGAGTATTTATTTTCGCTGCTACCAACTAGTATTGCATCATTAGATAATTCTGACCCTTTTGTTTATAAAACTAGGTTGTTGCAGAGAACTTGTCAGATGAAGAGATTACAGGCTTAAAAGAAATGTTCAGATCCTTGGATACTGATAACAGTGGGACAATAACTCTTGAGGAGCTAAGATCTGGTTTACCAAAACTTGGCACCAAAATTTCTGAATCAGAAATTAGACAGCTGATGGAGGCGGTATGTTTTTGCTCTGCAGGCAGACACTTGAGCTTTCAATTGATTTTTTTTTTAGATAATGGAATATTAATATCCCAGTCACTGCACCCATAGATGCACAAAACTATAATCACTTATTACAAGTTTTCCACAGAAAGCGAAATAAATTAAACATAAAGCAGCATCCTGCCGAAGTGTTTGGCCTTTACTTCGGAGCGCCCGCTCATGGCTTGGTTTCCTATCGCTCCTATGTAGTGGTCGGCCTTAAAAGTATCTTTGGACTCTGGCAATCATGTGTGACTGCGGAGCGCCTATTGCGTGCACGTGCGCGTGCACGGCGAGAGAGAATACTAGTTATGCTTTGCCCAAAGGGACCGGAACAGTCTAGTCTCTAGCTACCTAGCTTCGGCTATTTCAAGTGCCTGCTGAGCTTCTTCCGGATCAATGTTAGCAGCTGATCCTACTTAGAATGAAGCCACATTAAGCTTAATGTAGACTGAGACAGTAACAACATGCTCATTTGAAAGGAATGGTTATATGGAAGAATTTGAGTATTTGGCAGTAGCATGTATACACAACTGTTCTGGTGGTTCCAGCACATGCCATCATATCATTATTTCCTTGTTTTCCCAAACAGGCTGATGTTGATGGAAATGGAACCATTGACTATGCTGAGTTCATATCAGCGACAATGCACATGAACAGATTGGAGAAGGAAGACCACATACTTAAAGCATTTGAGTATTTTGATAAGGACCACAGCGGGTAACTTCAAATCGATTTTTTTTGGGTCTTGTTCTATCTGTTGTTTGTTAGTTCTCATTAATTTGCTAATTTTAAATCTCTCTGAGCAGATACATAACAGTAGATGAGTTGGAAGAAGCTCTGAAGAAGTATGATATGGGGGACGATAAAACGATTAAGGAAATCATCGCTGAAGTAGATACTGATCATGTAAGTATATTCCGTAACACATCTTAAAGCAAGCTCTTTGATAACAAAATGTGCATGTCCCAACCATCCTACAAGGAGAATGCCAAAGATTTCCAATCCTAAAGTACCTTTCTTAAGTAGAATTTGAGCTCAAACACAGGCTGCGAGGCCCATTTATTACAGTGCTAATTTTTCCATTTTTTGTTTTCACAGGATGGAAGAATTAACTACCAGGAGTTTGTCGCCATGATGAGGAACAACAACCCTGAGATTGCTCCCAACCGGCGGCGCATGTTCTAACTTCCTTTACAATTGTTGAAAGAATACTGTTTGGACATCTTTCCTCATTATATTCCAAGAACACCCCTTAAGAGGCTTGATCATCTGAGATCCATACACCTGTTGCCAGGGCTTGGACCCATTTGTACTCAAATGGAGTTGCGCGATATATCATTTGTAGATGCCTGGACCATCATGGATTTCTGAGTGCTGCTTTGTTATTCGTTGCCTCATCATTCAATTTGGAGTGTAACCTCAACGGGATGATCAGTTCAACTGCTCTTCCGAGCGTGTTGCGACTTGTGACTATATGCCACTTGATCGTTTGTATTAGATCAGGTGTTGTAAAACAGATTTTAGTGATAAGATCAGGCAAGGTTATATTATTCTGGAGAAACAGTTTAATCTTGCTTCTGAATTTCCCGGCCGTATGAGAACGTGCTATTCGAGCTGAAACCGTTCGATCTGTCCAGCAGTATTGCTCTCGCTGTTCTTGTCAGGACAAACCTTGCGCTTGCGCGTTTACTGGAGTTTCGCTTTGCACCATACTCTCACCTCACACTGCGCAAAGAACAATTTGGTCATCTACAGTATTTAACTATTTATCTAAGCACGCGTCATAAAGCAACCAATAGATCCCTCATTTCCGAGCATGCTTCAAGGAGGCAAAAATTCAGTAGTCTGCTTTTCTTTTTTGGCTTTTTTTTTCTTCTGTACAAACACATCATACAATCTACATGAATGAAAATGATGGTTGACATACTCCTTTTACATCCACTTATACTGAAAACTGTTATTCTATACCCATATATTAAACATTTAAGTCATCAGAAAGATGACATTAACATTAAGATATAAAAACTTTATCCAAAAGATTCATCTCTAGAGCACTAATATACAAGACACAGACATATTGTAGATGTAATCTGAATTCCGTGGTTGTACTTCGTTGTGACAGGGCTGGACAAACTGGAGGCTTGAAATTGATCAACGAACAGAAACGTTTTTCATCTTTCCCGACTTGTGCTTGACAAAGAAAGCAGCTAGCATACTTTTGGTACGGAGGGGAGCCTTTTGGATTTGACGCCCTCTTGGGTTGTCAAAAGAACTAAATGACGATAGATGCCTGACACCAGGTTGATCCTGCAAATACAGAACATGTGATTTCACATTAGTGGGAAATGATAATTTGAACCTGGAAAATTAAGAATTCCTAGAGAATGTAATGCTCATTTGCAAGTTTTACAGCATAAAAATAGTCAGGTCTTAAACCACTCATCAAGTTGTTTACCTTCATGCCAACATTATGCATAGCAAAATCAGAGCTGGCCAAGTTTGTCTGCAGATGCTTGGGCAATGGAGATGTTGATGGTTCCTTACCTGAAACAAAAGCAATTCCAAATGAGGTGTTAGCCACCTGTACAAATATTATAAACTATCCAGAAGTCTGCCTAAGATACACTCAGTGCCAATCATGAAAGTAAATCACACTACTGGGGTGTACTAAGCAATAAAAGCAATTAAATAGAATGGTGGAAAACCTCTCGATGCAGGTTTTGTAGCCTTTGTTTCTTCTAGGCTGAAAAAAATAGAGACAACAGAATTACACAGGAAGAATCATAGAGTAAGCGACCAACTTCACAATAGGCAAAATAGAGCTGGCATGCTTACACAAATTCAGATTGGCGTGCTCCATTGGTTTTGGAGTTTTTCTCTGAAGCCAAATGCCAGAAAAGGGTTTTTGCTGAAGAGAAAAAACCATTTTAGTGCAGGTACTTTATATCAAGATTTAATTGTGTGCTGAGTGCCAAGAAATTGCACCTGAGGGATAAGGTCTAGGCCTTGAGTCAATATCAGCATCAGTTTGCATCTCAGAGAAAGCCTGCATTCTTTTGTTCGCCAAAGCTGAGCTCATAGAGAAAAAATAGCAAGTTAAATTAGGTGCTAATAGTTTCTTCAGTAGAGAATTACATCTTTTTTTACACGTCCTTACTCGGTACAATGTAATGTTTGTGATGTCTTGTGGCGGTTCCGGTCATCTGCTGCTGCCTAATGCCTTCTTTATCCGTGTAAGTTTGGCAGGTGAGGACTTGCTAGATATTGAGCAATAAGAATGTCAGTTTAACTCCTGGTCTGCATCAACACAAATTCCTGAGTTAAACAGCAGTACCTGGTTCAAGCATGCTACTTTCAGCTCAAGAGTGGAAACTTCTGAAGCCTGTTGTTCATACAGGTCTGTCAGTTTGTAGGCAACTGTGCCAAGGTGGTCAACCGCATTCACCAAAGCCCTCACAGCATAATCCTTCAAGTTGTCTAGAACCCTGACATAAATAAGCATATGAAATCAGATCAGACTCCCAATGATTGTCACATTTTCGTGTACTCAAATCCTAGCAGCCAGATGCAGAAAATGAACACAACCATTTGACAGCAAGTGATATGCAGTGAGGATATCAGAACTTAGTACAAAGTAGACTGAAATAAACAACGGATGGATTATTGCAAGTAAACTCAACATTTCCAGACCCTATGCTGCACCAAGATTAATTATCTACCAGTGTCTCGGTAAGGGATCGTTATGAATGCAGGAATTTCGCATGCAAAAAAAAAAATTCAGATTTCGCAAGAATTATTTAAGGTCCCTGTGTTCCAACTCGCAAATGTGGCCCAAGTTTCTAGTTCACAAGTAATTTCCTCATCCATTTCTGCTATTTGTATATGCTCAGCTAACTCTGAACTGATTCACCATTTAAACCTACTACACACCAACCGCAACCTTTCTAGCACCAAACGAGAAACTATGTGGATAGAGCAATCATAAACAAGTTCATGGTCCCATAGTAGCATCAAGCAACCAATAATTTGCCCACACGCACAAATTCTTGCCACAAATTTTGCCTGCTAGAGCTGGGATTCGAATCGCAGTAGAAACGAAAACGAAAACAAAAAAAAAAACTCACATCTGCTTCTGCTCGCTGTGGAGGTACGACTTCTCGCAGTACTCCGACGCCGAGTAGAGCTGCGGCCGCAGGTTCTTGAGCTCCTGCGCGACATCAGTTCAACCAAAAGAATCAAGAACTGCAATTCATTTCAGAGAAAGAAAAAAAAAACGAGCCTCGCGGCGCCGCGGGATCTCTCCCGGATCCGGGTCCCCGGCCGGCCGGCAGGCCTACCTGGAGCGCCTTGACGAAGCTCTTGCTCCGCTCCATGGACGCCTCGTCGACGGTGGTGGGAGCGGGACCTCCCCCGCCGCCCTCCTCCCCGACCCCGGCGACCGCGAGGCCGCCAAGCCCCGCCGCCCACGCCTGCTGCTGCTGCATATCCCCTCGCCTTCCTCCTCCCGAGTCGCTCGCTGCAGTTCTTGTTCGGTAGGAAGCCGGCTACTTAGCGGCGGGGGCAAGGCACGTGAGGAGGAAGCAAGGAAGCGATGCTCCTCCTCCTCTCCTCTCCCTGCCGGCGCGCGGCAGCAGCAGCAGGCAGGCAGGCAGGAGAAGCGTATCGGTGGGGGTGGTGGCCGCGTGCGCGAGTGGGAGCGGAGGCAGGTGGGGGCGCGCGCGGATGGCGACGGCGGCCGCGGCGTGGTGGTGGTGGTTACTGGTCACTTTAAGCCGCTCGTAGTAGGAGTAGGAGTCAATGCTTCGCTTCGCTTCGCTTGGCGGATGGCGGTAGCGAGATTAGGGAATCGATTGCCTCCTTTTCCGCCTGTCGATGGATGGATCGATCGACCAGCTAGCTTGCGTGGTTCGGTTCTCTGCCGGTGGATGGATCTTGATTCTTGCGGCCACTAGAAAAAGGCGCGTGTTTGTCTCTCCTCGTCATCTCGACGACGACGACGACTTGGAGTGAGGAGCGCATGATTTCGCTATGGCCACCCAGGCTATGAGAGCAAGTTTCACGGTAGAGGTGATGGTCATATGGCCTGGCCTGTTTGGTAGAGCTCCAAATCCTAAATTTAGTTACAGGAGTTGGGTCTAGAGTAGAGTTGTGGAGCTACCTAAATCCAGCTCCACCTCTCTAGTTTATTTTGTGAGAGAGCTGAAACTGTTTGGCTAGTTATAGCTCTAGGAGAAGTAGAGCTGGAGCTGGAGCTAGAGCTGTGCTAAACATGCTTCTAATTTTATAAAAAAAATATGACTATTAGGGAAAGACCTAATATCAAATAAATAGAGCTAACCAGAAAACCCTATAGGCGTTTCTCCTAATTTTACACACACCATCTTCTTATTAATTAGGAGATAGTTTATACGAAATAAGGAATTTTATGGTCCTTCAGAAATCTCTTTTAAATATGTGATTCGAATTTTGGGCCTACAATATATTCGGATTAGTTTCCTAATAGAAGTTGACTATTAGGATTAGTTTCCTAGTATGACTCTAAGTCTTTCCCCACTAGGACTCCTAGATTTCTCCTATATATAGGGCCTGTTTGGTTGGGTATTTCAACTTACCACACCTCAAGTTAGCACATGCCAAAAGTGTGGCGAACGAAATCCTTGCCATAGCTTTGGCTCAAAAATGTGTGGCAAAGCAGCTAGAAGCTGCCTAACTTTCTTTGGCAGGCTAAACTATGGAAGCAAAACAAACAAGGGCTAAGCGGTTGTGGCTGACTAACATGAGGTGCGGCATTCTGTGGCATGGATCCAAACAGCCCCATACTCTTGTAAGCCGCACGGGGAGGGTGCGACAGTCCAATGTACCCCATGCGTTTGTATCCAACTCCTCTGTAGTGATCATTGCCGGTCGGCGCCCGTGGTTTTTTCCTGCAAAGGTTTTCCACATAAAATTCGTGTCTCCGTTGTGTATCTATTTTATTAACAACCTCGAGGTAACTAAATTTTACTCTAAATTTTTTTGGTACTTTAAGGTACTCAGTGCCTAGAGGCACCAAATATTACACTAGAAAATATGGTACCTCTAGGTACATTATTAAGGATGATAAAATTACCCATACAACATATTGCCTCTAATGCACTTGTCCCAATATACTACTCATACCTTATTTTTTTTAATTCAATCCATTGATTTTTTTCCCTTATCTATCTAGGAGTTTGTATAGAGACTACCCTTTACATAAGGGGTGGCAACTCCTCTCTTTCTTTCTTTTTTTCTCTTTTCTATCTCATTATGTAATTTTAGAGCCTCATCGGTATGCCTAATAAGCCAAAGCAAAAGGGCAAAATATGAACTTTCAAACTTGATTTTGAAGCATTTTCAATGTAATTTCTTTTTAGTATTGGTTTTTAAGCCGTTACGAACAAGTGTATAAAAATTTACCTATAAATTAATTTTATTCCCTAATAAGTCTAAACGATTTATTAAGTAATATTGGCAACCCATGAGGCTCTTACATGGTACTCCCTTCGTTTCATATTATAAAACTTTCTAGCATTGCCCATATTTATATATATGTTGTCTAGATTCATATATGTGATTCATTAGTGTGTGTGTGTGTATATATATATATATATATATATATATATATATATATATATATATATGAACGGATAATGTTAGAAAGTCTTCTAATATAAAACGGAGGAAGTACTATATCAAACAAGAGGTATGAGGTCCATAGTACTTGTTCTGAGGAGGGAGGAGCAATGTGTCCTGGGCGTTTGGGCCACTTGGCTGTAGCAGTGCAGTGGTAGTACTAGTTCTTGGGTTGGAGTAAACTACAAGCTGCAGGGTACAAGCACGGCGAGGGAGAGCTGTCAAGGGGCTGCTGGAGATTAGTCCATGACAGTACTTATACCTCGTAACAGAGGTTTTAACTATGTTAGCACAGTGAGTGTAAAAGAGTACGGGGCCTCCTTTCAAACGTTGATTTAAAAATGTATGTGATCTGGTACCAAACCTCTTAATGTTAATTCGTATTTTGAGGAAAAATATAAACTCTAAAACAATGGCTTTTCTAGGTAGTGCTGGTCGTGGCTACTGCATATTACAAGAAGAAAAAGAGTATTGTTCACCATTTTATTTCTGAAATGAACTGGTTTAGAGCAGCAGCTACCACAGCGAAAAGAAACCTAAAAGAAACAACTGAAATAACATAAACAACATTTTGTTCAATTTCTACGCATTTCAATGTTTATATACACTGAACAACACAACAGATGACTAGAGCAACGAACAGTTAAATGAAAGACTAGATTGTCCCATCCTTGGTTTCATCTTTTCTCCCTTTTAGCTATGATGCCCTTCTAGCTCCCATTTCATCTCTTTTCCACCATCAGCCTAGCCTCTTGATGTCATGTAACTATGATGCGGCGCACCTAACCACGTTCAAGAAATAGCGTAGATGGGTATGCACGAGATCATGGTGTTTGCTCGTACAATCTTTATTTGCTTTGGTATTTGCCTTAACTTGCATGATTAGTTAAGATTTCTATAAAAATCCTCCATTTTAAAGGACACTCGGCTCTATATATTGTGTATTCTACGTACTAATAGAAAAGTCAGGTATTTGGTAAAAAGCCCAGGCAACAAACAACTAGCACTACAACCCATGTTTTCACGGCAGTTAATTTCCGACGATGAAACATGGTTAGAGCCCGGTCAGCCGTTCATCTAGCCTAAGAAACGGATCCACCAGTGAGCGCATGTTGCATTATTGAATTGGAGTCCTACCAAAAAGTCCAACGGGACAGTCGGACACATATATTCAACTAATTCAAAGTCCATGACTTACCGCTTAAAAAAAAATTAAGAAAGCACATGGGTTCAGAGCAAAGAAATTTTAGCCTGGACAGTGAGATGATGCCGGACCCTATGTACCTGCAGAAATAGCCAATAGGAAACAGGTTTTAATTTAGATCGGTTGCTGAAAAAGCAAGGAGGGGAGTCCTGTCCCATGTTTGTTGCAAGTACAAAGTTTCCATGGGGCAAACCCGGTGGTTGCCAGGTAGAGTAGTTCATGAATGCTCTTGGTTTTGGCTGCTTGATGGATTGACTAGATGCATTTAGGTGCACCTAATCCCGCAATGACATTTAAGAACTCATCAAGTGCAGCTTTCATTGTCAAAACAAAAGGGGCATACACTATTAGTATCCGTTACTGTTCATGATAAATACATTTCAATTCATGGAGTAAAACAGACACGTCCAAACCCTATAGAAGTTGTTCCAAACCCTATACAAAATCTGGGTTGTGTTTAGTTCCTGAAAAAAGTTGAAAGTTTGAGAAAAAATTGAAAGTTTGAAAAAAAGTTAGAAGTTTATGTGTGTAGGAAAGTTTTGGATTTGATGGAAAGTTGGAAGTTCGGGGTAGTTAGGGGTGAACTAAACACGGCCACACGGCCCTGATGATGTGGAATTCCCTAGCTCAAACGCATATTAGATCTAAGTGGATTTTGAATGGACAAAAGTAGTTACACAAAACGCCACAACTTAGTTGAGAAAACGAACAATATGCCACTCTATAAGATGGGTGGGATAAAATGCCACTCAATACAATGCACCGGATAAAATGCCACTCAATACGTTGCCTACCGGATGAAATGCCACTTTAGAGATTTTTGTGCCCAAAATGCCCCTAGAGAGAGAGAGGGAACAGAGGGAGAGGGGAGGGCCGGCCGGGCGGCGTGGAGGCCTCTCCGGGCGGTGGCGGCAGCGGCCGGCTGGGAGGAGGATAGGGCGGCGGCCGGTGGGGGGATGAAGAGGCGACGGCGGTGGAGGCGACGACGCGGGAACGCGGCGAGCCTACCCGCGCGTTCGCCAGGAGGCGGCAGCGGCGGGGGTAGGGGGAGGATGAGGAGGCGACGCAGGGGGAGGAGCGCTGGGGAGGGCCGGGCTGGCGGCGCCGGATGCCTCGCGCGGACAGCGGCGGCGGCAGCCGGCGGGGACGACAGGGGGGAGGAGTACAGGGTGGAGGAAGAGACGACGGCGATGGAGCCTCAGACCGTCGTCCCCGTCGCCGCGCCATCCTCCTCCCCCCGTCATCCTTCCCCACTTCGGCGCCCTCCCCCGATGGAGCCGGCACTGTCGTCCCCCTGGCGGCGCAGTCCTCCTCCCCTTCTCGCCGCCCACCCCCGCACGCTCGCTGCCCACCGGCGACGAGCACGACCGACGTCGTTCGTCTCTCCCTTCCTCTCTCTCCATAGTAGGGGTATTTTAGTCTCAAAACTACTCAAAGTGGCAAAGTATACTGATGATAAGCTATTGAGTAGCATTTTATCCTTTGCACTCTAATGGATGGCATTTTATCCTTTGCAATCTTGTGGAGTGGCATATTGTCTGTTTTTTTCCAACTTAATTCAAAATTTGAGATATGCCATCATGACCCACATGTCATTGACTTATGTGGGTCCTACATGTCATTGAGATACTGATGGCATATCTCAAACTTTGCAAAATTATAATGACATTGTTCCAATTTACCCTTTAACCTAGAACTAGAAGGCATGGTGAAACTCTAGCTGCAGAAAAAAAAACAAAACAAAATGTGTCCTACCAACACCATCCCTTGAGGGCAATGGTGCATACAGTACATTTTAAACTTATTCACTTAATTGTAACTTTTAACCTTATTAAATTTTGGCTTTATAAAACTCTAGTAGGGTAACAAACCAAACATATGTTAGAAATCTTAGTAGTTTTTCACATCAGCTATGTTACCAAACTTTGATAATTCTAGATATTTGCACTTTTCAAAGTTCAACCAAATTTTAGTAAGGTAGAGTTGAGAGTGGCTACAAATTGGACAAGTCCTTTATTCTATGTCAATCCTAGGCTTTCAATTTTGTTTTTTTTTTGTCTACGACAAGATTTAATAATTACCAAAACTTTAACGAAGTTGTTTGGAGTGTTCCTTTTTTTTGGGCAAGATCAACTAGCCCTAGATTTGTAATATTGTAAAGAAATGAATGTCAAATAATTTTTCAATACCATTTAAAAAAACAAAACCAAATGGATGATAGATTTTTTACAGGGATAAGTCCATTTTACACCCCCAAACTCTTATGTTTGCCTAAAATATACCCCGAACTACAAAATCAGGTATAATATACCCCTAACTATCAATACCAATCATTTTACGCCCTCGAGCAATTTTAAGACTGGTTTTGATTCATTTGAACGCCACATCAGCATAGTCCCACCAGTCAAACCATCTCACCGGTCACGTGTGGAGAGGGGCAAGGAAGAGGGGCTGTGATGAGGAAAATGAGGAATAGAAGGTTGGAGGCAGCCAATGAGCTCCCTCCCTCCACTCCCCGCTAGCCCATCCATGACAAGGCACATGCAACGGAGGGGGGAAAAGCTACGTCAAGCGGCAGCGCGGTATCTGACAAGGCATCATCGCCTGGTCAAGGACAAGGTCCAGCTCAAGCTCCGCATCCGCTTCTTCCTTGTTTAGCTCGAACTCCTCATCTCAAAGCCTAGTCGCCTTCGCTGAACTCGGCATCCCCAAGTAGCTCGAGCTCGTGTTTGTGCTCCAGCTCAAGGAAGTGAGGCAGGATGTTGGATCTTTAGCTTGTGCTCGCCAACGCTCGGCCCAGAATGGGGCAGTGACAAGGGGGCGGCGACGGGGGAGGGTGATCTAGAGCTCACCGGCTCTCAGAAGGGTAGTTGGGAGGGAGAGATCAAGCTCACCAGCGCTCAGGGGTGCGGCAACAAAGGGGGAGTAGAGAGAAGGGGAAAAAAGCGCTCATCGTCAGCCGCTCTTGAAGCCTCACTAGCCGCACTGTGTGGGGTAAGAGAGACGGAGGAGAGGGAGAAAGGAGGAAGAAGATGAAGTGGGTGAGCCCTCTATTGTTTAGATGATGTGGATTTATTGAACAGTTGGCATCCTATGAGATATCCACGTGTAGCAAAACTATAGTAAAACAACTCGAGGGGGTAAAATATTCAGTATTGATAGTTAGGTGATGCATTATACCTAACTAGCATGGTGGCCCGCGCAGATTACGCGGCTAGCATCATTATATTTTCTCTCATATAATAGCATATATGTTTTCTTAATGTATTATTCAAATATATTAAAATGACAACATAATTTTAAATTTTGTACTAACTTTACGAAACTACTAATGTGTAATATTCATATTGTATTTTATATGCGTGTTAGTTATTAATTATTTTTAATATCAAATTTTAGTTATTTGTAAATTATATTCCTATATGGACTCTAGACTCGTCTTTCAATATTTTTTTAATTCCGAATCTTCGTTATCTGTAAATTGTATTTCTATATATAGATTCTAGTATCTTCTTCCAATATTATTTATTTTTAATTCTTATTTTTTTTATTATTTCTAATTATATTTCTATGTGGACTCTAAACTCATCTTTCAATATTTTTTAATTTTTAATTTCAAATTTCAGCTACTTCTAAATTGTATTTCTATATTGACTTTAGACTCTTCTTCCCATGTTTTGTTTAAATTCCGAATTTTAGTTATTTGTAAATTATATTTTTGTACGAACTCTAAACTCTACTTTTAATTTTATTATGTTTATTCCGAATTTTAATTAGTTTTAAATTCCTATATGGACTCTATACTCTACTTCTAATATTCCTTATTTTTAATTCCGAATTTATATTATTTCTTAATTGTATTTTTATATGGACTCTATACTCTACTTCTAATATTCCTTATTTTTCAATTCCGAATTTCAGTTATTTATAAATTGTATTTCTATATGACTCTAGTCTCCTCTTCCAATATTCCTTATTTTTAATTCCGAATTTCAGCTGTTTCTAAATTGTATTTCTATATGGACTCTAGTCTCCTCTTCCTATATTTCTTATTTTTTAATTCCGAATTTCAACTCTTTCTAAATTGTATTTCTATATGGACTCTAGTCTCCTCTTCCAATATTTCTTATTTCTTAATTCTGAATTTCAACTATTTCTAAATTGTACTTCTATATCAACTCTGTTTTTCTTTTTCTTCGATTAATATGGGAATTTTAGGCCGTGAGAGCGAACGTGGAGGCTCATTTTTCTATTTCTTTAATAAGTTAATAGATTTTGTAGCTAGGAGGTGTATTTAGATAAACAAAAAGCTTAGGGATGTAAAATGAACTTATTCCTTTTTTACCTGGTTCATTTGGGCAATGAACCAAACATGCCCATAATAACCGTAGTCATAATTTAACCATGATGGCTTGCCATGTACGAATAATATTGAGCATGAAGATACACATGTATGGTCAGTGTGAGCACATCGTCATTGAATGTGCCCAAGCAAGGCCTACACATGGCATATGCTATGCTCCACATGCTTGCGCTCTCGTACACCTACGCGTGCCCACTTAACCCAGTGTGTCAGTTTTTTTTTTAAAAAAAATACCCAGTGGGTCCAAGGCTCCAAGCCTAATGAAAATTAAAACGTTTCAAAAAAAAATAAATAAGAGTAAATTTCACGAAACTACAGGTATTTTGGTCAAATTATCAGAAAACTACAGATTTAACATGATGTATTACAAAACTACAGATTTAACACTAATTTTATCACGGAACTACAGATTTAAGATAAAATATCTCAAAACTATAAATTTTAGTAACAAAGATATCACAAAACTATATGTTTAATATCAATTAATCATAAAACTTGAACATTTTCAACTCAAACATAATATTAGTGCAACGAATTTAACCCCCAAAATATGTAGTTTTGTGATAATTTTATTATTAAATATGTAGTTTTGTGATAATTAGTCTTAAACATGTAGTTTTGTGATAAATTTGTTGCTAAATTTGTAGTTTTGTGATAATTTGGTCAAAGTATATGTAGTTTTGTGAAATTTACTCAATAAATAATTTTCACCGGTTTTCTAGAAGAAATTAGCAAAAGTATATTATTACCGCTGAAGAGAGGGGAGGGGGCGAGTTTTATATCAGGACTTAGCGCGATGAGTGCTCGGCTTTGCACGAAGGAAATCGGACGGATGCGAACTCACAGCACTACAGAACGAACTTGCACGATTAAATAATTAATTACCATCATAAGCAATTACTCCCTCCGTTCTAAAATATAAGCATTTCTAGCAATGAGTCTGGACATATATATGTCTAGATTTATAGATAGAAGTTGTTATATTTGAGAACGGAGGTAGTAATCAATTAGCCATTATTTTTTCATCACGTCGTAAGCATTTAATTAATAGCTAATTTATCCTAAGACGATTTCGGGCCTTGTGGCTGACGTGGCGTCTACATAGCAGGTTTGACTTGGTTCTCGTCCTAATATAAAAATTAAAAAGTCAGTCAGTCGGTGACAATGGAGCTCGAGGATGGCCGGGAGGAAGAGGGAAGAAGGAGGCGCTGACGTGCTATCGATCATGGAGATAGAGATGAGGGTGGGACCCACTGACATGTGGGTCCAACTTTTTTTTTTATCTTTTGTCTTACATACTATTTAATCTTTATAATTTGCTTCCGGTGCCATTTCACCGTCACGTAAGACAAGAACTAAGTCAAATTAGTCATGTAAGTGCCACGTTAGCCGAAACCGTCATCCAAACCACATTGGAATCTTATTTGCACTGGTTTTGACTGTTGATGTATATGGTAATTTGGTTCAGGAACGAAAATCGAACTCGCTGTCAAGTTAAGGACCAAAAATGAACTTACTCCAATCCACATCGTTATACCGCGGATGGGCCACCATGGGCCTAATATAAACGGGTCAGACATTAACTGCAAAAGACAGGCGACAGAAGCAAACCAGAACGACAGGACAGATCGAACGTTCCCTTTATTTCCTGACGAAACAACAAACAACACCTCAATCAGCAAGAACACTGTACAATTCCTCCTGATCAAAATTTCCCTACGCCCTAATTTACACCATGGACCTTGGTCAGGTCCATGCGTGCAGCCCACGCTGGCAGGCACGCTTCAACCAACACAAGGCAGAACGTTACAACCTCGCAAGGTGCAGCGACACGAGAACGCCGACGAAAACGTGCCAACTCCCGACACAAACGCCCGCGCCGACGCCGACGCTGGGAGCAGCAGCCGCCGCCGCCGGCAAGCCGCCGGTGTTCCTCAGGCGGCCTCCCAGGTGCTGCGTCGTGCGGCTCCTGACGCTGTCGCAGTCGGCGACGCCGGCCAGCGCGACGACGCCCTCAAGGCCCTGCTGCTTGGCGTCGTAGCAGAGCCCCTCGTTGCCGCCGACGCGGAGCTTCTTGCCTAGCCGCCACATCATCTGCTTCCCGAACGGGATCGGCCCCACCAGCCGGTTGCCGTCCACGCGGAGCTCGCTCGCCCGCTCCAGCCGCCGGAAGCTCGCCGGGATCACCCCGGTGAACTCGTTGTTGTCCAGCCGCAGCACCCGGAGGTGGCCCAGCTCCCCGATCGACTCCGGCAACGACCCTTCCAGCCCCATGCCGGAGAGGACCAGCGTCGTCAGCGCCCTGAGCCCGGCGAAGATGTCGCCGGGGACCGTCGTGAACTGCATCCGGTTGTCGCCGAGGATGAGCGACCGCAGCGACGACAGCCTGCCGAGCGCCGCCGGGATCGGGCCGGACAGCGCGTTGTGGCTGAGGTCGAGCAGGATGAGGTCGGACAGGTCGCCGAGCGCGTCGGGGATCGTGCCGGCGAAGCGGTTCTGGCTGAGGTCGAACTTGAGCAGCGAACGGCATTGCCCTAGGCTCGCCGGGACGCCGCCCTGCAGCGCGTTGTGGCTGAGGTCCAGGATGCTTAGGTGCTGGAACTTGAAGGGTGGCACCTCGCCGGCGAGCTGGTTGTAGCTCAGGTCGAGAAGCTGGAGGTGCGCGAGGGACTGGACGGTGGCTGGGATGGCGGATGTGAGGTTGTTGCCATGGAGGTCGAGCACCCGCAGCGCCGTCAGGTTCCCGAGCTCCGGCGGGATCGCCCCGACGTGGCCGTTCTCCCGGAGCACCAGCGAACGGAACGCCGGGCCGAGGCGGCCGAGGAACGCCGGGACGGGCTGCGGGTTGGCCGTGAAGCATCGGTAGAAGAAGAGCGACCTGAGGTGCGGCAGCGCGAGCACGGCCGGCGACAGCGTGGCCCGCGCCGCGTCGCACGCCGGGAAGGCGGTGTCGTCGGAGAGCGCGCCGAAGGAGAGCGACACGACGTGGTACACCTCCCCGCGGTCGGGCACGCACTCGATGCCGTGCCACCGCCCGCGGCACACGTCGGCGATGCCCGACGCCCACCCGTTCCCCGTCGCCGCCATCACCTCCTGCACCGCGCGCTGCTCCGCCGGATCGGTGCGCGCCCGGTCCGACAGCCCCGTCTGCGGCGCGTTCACCAGCGCCGCCGACGACGACGAGTCCGGCACCACCACCGTGAACTCCCCCCTGCACACCGCAACCAGCACCGCCACGACGGCCACCACCACCGTCGCCGCCGCCGTCGCGGAGAGCGCAGAGGCCACCATATCACCTTGCACGCTCGTGCGACGCGATGCGCTCGGAAGGGTCACGACCGTTGGGAATTTGGAGGGAAGAGGGTGGCAGAAGGCGCAGGTTTTATAGTGTCAGAGGCGCGCGCGCCGAGGCCGCCGACTCGCGGAGGCCGCAGTGTTCGTGGCGGGTGAATGCGGCGAGAGACGAGTAAATGGTGGTCACGGGATATGGGGGAGAAATGGAGTAAATGAACTGAGGATTTGCCTGCATTCAATTGGTTTCACGGGAAATCGGAACTGAACAATATTGCGCGACATCCTGGTGGCATGGAGCAGTGAGAGCATGCCTCTGCTAGCAATTTTGATCTGGTAATTGTATTGTTTCGCTACAGGCGACCTGCGGTTCAGCGGTTCAGTGGCAGTGTAAACAGTTGCTGTTTGTTCGATCAAGACGTTCGTGCGTTCGCGAAAAGATCAAGACGTTCGTAATCTGGAGCCTGAAGTTAGCGTTGTGGATGAAAAATCACAAGTAGGCAGTAGTTGAGATGCAGAGGAAAGGTTAATGCTGTTCTTGCAGACTGCAGAGTACTACCATCCCTGGCTCACTGGTCTACCTGACTGCATTTCGTTTTACTCCCAGCTCGCATTTTCATGAGAAAATTGCAATATTCGGACTACAAACATGGGGGCTTCGCTGTTTTGAGACTCCGAGTGGATGATAAATGGGCCCATCTATGTCTATGAAATGTGGGTCCAGTGTCATTATAGCAAAGGCTAATGTTTGCAGTGTCATAACCCTATTGATGAACTGAAATGCAGATGGTTATTTCAAGATTACTATTACAGCAAGACTGAGAAATAAATGATCAAATATTTGATCTTTCAAGCCATACTGACGAAGACATGGGCAAAAAGAAAAAAAAAACCTCTGATAAGTTATTCTTCCTCGTTGTCCTATCCAAATGTAGAAATTCACTAGTTCCTTCCTCTTCACAGGTCATCCTGACGTTTCAGTCTTTCAGGTTTGCTTGCTGCACTTTCTCAGACCCCAGGTCTTCAGAATTCAGCAACGAGGAAAACAAACGAAAATCAACGAAGAGAAATGAGAAGCAAGAAAGCCAGGTAGCCCAATAAGAGGCCCAAAGGCCTCCAGATCATATAGCTGGCTCAATGGGCTCAGCTATGGATCAAGAAACAATAGTTCTCCGTTACCTTACAGCTATATCCATCCTGAATCCTTGATTTCTGAACATACAATGATACAATTAATATCTTGTCCCCTACACTGTATTCAGTACTTCAAGACGACACTATGTGTTCAGTATCTTTCAAGAGGACTATTTTCGTTGCAAATTTTCTCGAAGCAATTTTGTTTTGTCCCCGTTTTTTTCGATTCCACCTGGTAATCTGGTGTGCCGCAAATGTGTAGCCTCTGACTGGATACGCACCTAACTTTGTGAAGGGGCTCTGAACCTGAGCTAATCACTAATGGACCGATTTGCGCGATCTCATGCTTCATGCCTTAGCCATGCTGCCCAGTGCCCATACAGAATTGTGACTGTCACCCACAGGGACTGCCAGACTAGACAAAGAAAACTCATCCTTTGGTTGATTACTATCCCGCTGGACAACACTACCTGAAAGTACAGAACAATCAGCATTAGGTAAACTTTGGAGTGCAGATTAATCAGCCTTGACAGTACAGTCGCACGTGATGACATCAATTCTTTTATCCTTATTTAAAGGCCTCCTTGCCCAGTCAGACAGCTCGCCGAAAATATGCCAGGAGAAATGCACACATCCAAGGGTCCAACCGATGCCAAACGTACACTGCAGAGAAATGCAGTCAAATTAAGGCTGCGTGTTCTAGAATTGGGAAAACGTTCAGGGAATTCATCATTCAGTCATTCAGTACGGAGGATAACCATGCATGCAGAAAGTGTTTTTATAAAGCTTGTTTAGCGTGTTGCGACACACAACACATTCTCCATCTGAAGCCGGCGACTTTGTCAGTTACTACAGATCAGACCATCATCAGCATCTGCTAGATTTCCACAAGAATTTGGTCGTTCACTGTTCAGAGAGATCGGTTGCTGCAGTGCATGTCAACAGCATGTAGTAGTGCACTACTCGGGAACGCACTCAATGCGTGCTAAATGCTTCGTGCTATCCGGCTGTGCTCAGTCCACTTTCTGATTTCTGAACCAGGAAACATCGTCTTTTTTTGTATGTATGAATCGATTCAACTAAAAGAGGTCGCAAACTTGAGGTCCAAGTTATTTACTCCCTCTGTTTCAGGTTACAAAACGTTTTAACTTTGATTAAAGTCAAATTACTTCAAGTTTGACTAAGTTTGTAGAAAAAATAATATCATTTTCAACCCAAGACAAATTTATTATGAAAATATATTCAATTATTGATTTAATGAAACTAATTTGATATTAAAATATTACTATATTTGTCTATAAACGTAGTCAAACTTAAAATAGTTTAACTTTGACCAAAGTCAAAACATCTTATAACCTGAAACGAAGGGAGTAGTTGCCAACTTCTTGTCCCCGCGTCGCTCTCGCGCGGGCAGCTCGGGGGCGAAACCCTAGCCTCCCACGCCGCCACCTCCCACCAATCCTCGACACCTTGCCACCCCTGGAGCTCGCCGCTAGAAAACCGGGCGGCAAGCCAGGAAGGCGGCGACGTGGACAAGGCGGCCCACGAAACTCGTCCTCGGCGCGGGAGGACGGAGCGTCGCCACGACGGCTAGAGATGGCAAGGGAGCGACGGATCCGGTGCTCCCGGAGATGGATCCGGTGTTTGCCAAGACGGAGACGCAGGCGGCGGTGGAGCTTGGTCGCGAGAGCGAAGATGACGGCGGTAGTGCTGGATCTGGAGCTCCCAGATCCAGTTTCTGCGGCGGCACCCCTGCTCAATCCTAGGCGGGGAGCAGCCGGCGTGGGCAGCGGTGCCGATGGCGACGCGCGGCAGGAGGTCGCAACGGCGCGGCGTGGACAGGAGGGCATGGACGGGAGGTGCGGTGCGGCGTGCCCGTGCTGGTGGCGGCGCGAGGGCGACGCCGGTGGAGTCACTGTGACGCCGTGGACGGCGATGCATGAGGCTCGTAGCGACACGTGGCCATGCCTGGCAGGGGTCTGCGTGAGGAGGAAGCCGGCATGGGTCGCTTGGGTGCTAGCAGTAGCGGTGGTGACTGACGACGGTCATTGACTGGGTTTGGGTGCTAAAGGGTTGGTGTGGTGGTCCGACGATGGTCGTTGTACACGATGGTTGTGTGGACCTTTGAATAGGAATCACCGGTGAAAGCCTTGCCAGGCCATGGGCCGGCATGACGACGACGCCATTAGGTGTCGTTCCCCTTCTTGGAGGCGTCGTTTTGGCGTTGACATCTCCTAGCATCAAGAACCTTTCGCGCACAATGGTAGCCATCGATGGACTCCTGCAATGTCTCCAAAGCCCTACAAGTCTAGCTGTTTGACGAGGCCTTCGCTGCCTTGCTTCCGTTCCTTGCTCTACCGTGGGTGTTCAGCATTCTTATTTGGTTGCTGCTGGGTAGAGTCAGAGCTACTTCATTGTAAGGGTGCGACAAAGCTTGGCAACGATGACACAGTACTGCAATCTCTTTATAGGATTGTTGATGCTAGTTGCGTGCAGGAAATGGTTCTTTGGTAGTTTGGACTGATGTCCTTCATGAGTATCGTTTCTGTTTGCTCTTTTTGGCGTTGGAGTAGCATTGCAGTGAAGTCGAAGCTGTTGTGTCGCTTGGGTGGCAAGCTTGGCAACGATAACATATGTGGGCTATTGTGTCGTCTCTATGACAAACTTGGCAGATGCCTTGTGTCGGTTCCGTCGTGGTAGCTTAGGTTAGATTAGCTGTTGGTGAGGCGTTGTAATTATGGTTTGCTCATTTTTCCCAAATTAACTGGGCACTGTAAGGTTTGGTCTCGTTTACTCCTTAAAATAGGACACCTTATTCTTAATATAAATCGTCGGTAATGGCCTGTCCGTTAAAAAGAAGAAGCTTGAGGTCCAAAATTGAGATGCACTTGATAGTGTAGTGGCAAAAGATGTGTGGTTTCAACCCTAAGGTCTCGTGTTCAATATCTAAATTGCTCACAATTGTTTTATAAAAAATGTTCGGAGGGATGTCTCTCCCTAGGTCTAAGATTGATATTATAAGGTCGTAGGAAAAAATGATCAAAATTAATTCTCTTATTAATAATATAATTCACATAGCTCACACATCCGTAGATTTACAAACTGCCCGTTCGACCTCTATATCCTCATCATCACGAACTTGCTCCAAGGATATTATACTATATGTGATCGTATTATATTATATTACTAACTACTCGTAATGTCCAACCATATTAAGGCGATGATCTTTGTCCCAAGACATCATAATTTAAAGAATTTATGTACAGCTAACGACGAGATAGCTATACTTGGGGTCGATTTAGGGCTCCGCCTTGACTCTGGTCACCGACGGATCGGTCACGGTGGTGGCCTTGGACGACACCGACGAGTCGGAGTCGGAGCTGGGCGGCTTGGAGATGGAGAGCACATACTCCTTCATGTCGGAGCTGGATGAGCGGAAGTGCGCGAGGATCTTGCTGAACTTGGGCTTCTTGCGGGTGATGGCGATGGAGACGTCGTTGGGGAAGAGGTCCTTGAGCACGAAGGCGTGGAACATGGTGGTGACCAGCAGGCCGGCGACGGTGACGGTGGCGATGCCGGAGAGGCCGATGGAGAGCGCCCTCGTCAGCACGTTGGTCACCTCCGTCGCGTACGTGATCGTCGCGATCGCCGCGCCGGTCATCGGGAACGTGTACGCCCACCACGCCAGCGAGAATCGGAATCCCCTGAAGAAGTTGATCCTCACAGCCTGGTCACAGGATTAAGACATTGTTAAGTACGCATGCAGAGCTTAGTAATACTAATTAATTACGTACTGTAGTAGCTAGTGTGCTCGTTGCACGTAAGTGTTACGTACCAGTGACATGTAGAGGAAGAGGGCGATGAAGTAGGCGATGCGGGCGCCGTAGTCGAACTCGCCGAGGATCTTGGCCCAGGCCATGGAGGCGACGCTGGGGGCGGCGACGAAGAGGAAGAAGACGGGGTGGAGCTCCTTGGGGAGGGTGACATTGGTGGGGAGGCGCTGGTAGAGCGTGACGAAGAGGACCATGTAGTGGGCGAGGCCGACGGCGAAGTAGAAGATGGGGCCCTCGCGGAGCCCCATCTTGGCGCCGAGCAGCGCGCCGACGAAGTTTCCGACGATGGAGAGGTGGTTGGACGGGTTCGCCACCTTGGACAGCCGCCGCTGGCCGCCGGACATCCACTGCCCGTAGATCTTGAGCTCCAGGCAGAAGATGGGCGCCATGAGCGCGTACCAGACGCCGTGGTGCACCTCCGTCACCGGCCGCGGCACGCCCTGGACGAGGAAGAGGCAGGCGATCCACGGCGCGAAGAAGAAGTTGGCGCGGATCGGGTGGTAGAACTCCCGCCGCACCGCCTCGAAGTAGAAAACGACCTTGAGCAGGTAGATGAAGGAGACGAACCCCATCAGCGCCAGCGAGATCCACCACAGCACGTGGTTCACCACCGGGCTGACGTGCAGGAACGACGTCGGCGGCGCCGACGCCAGCGTCTTCCACAGCATCGCCTGGCTGCTCACCCCGAGGCACATCCCGAACGCGCTGATCGGGAACCGCAGCAGGAACGGCCACTTCTCGTCCTTGGGCAGCACCGTCGTCTCCGTCGCCCTCAGCGTCTCCAGCTCGGGGCCCTCCAGGGCGTCGAAGTAGCGGTCGGCGCCGGGGACCTGCTCCGTCTCCTCCTCGGCGATGTTCGGCTCGGGGGCGCCCTCGCCGTTGGTCATGTGCTCCTGCGCCGGCCGGCCGCGCAGGGTGGAGAGCTGCCGCTCGAGGCGGCCGGAGAAGGTCTTGAACTGGTCGAACCGCTTGTCGCGCGTGCTGTCGCACCGCCGCGTCGTCTCGTCGTTCTTGGACAGGTGCAGGATGGGCTGCGAGTGGAACCGCGTCTGATTCAGCAGCAGCCGCGGGGAGTGCGCCTGCACTCGCCCCACCGCCGGCGGGTGCGCGTCGTCGAACCTGGTCTCCGCCGGCGCCACGCGGGCCTCGTCGCGGTGGACGGCCTTCGCCTTCGCCGCCGCCATCCCGAACTGCGAGAAGTGGAACCCCGATGGCGACGCCGGCATGCTCAGCGACACGGAGTACGGTATCTGCGCGCCCTCGTGTTCGTACGCCGCCGACACCGACACGGATCGTGGAGCGTACACCGGCGCCGGGATGCTAATCACGACGTCCTTCTCCTCGCCCAGCATTTCGAGTTCCTTGCTCTGCTCGCTGAGCGTGGCCGTGGCCGTGGCGTCGCCACCGCCGCCGACGCAGTCGAAGCCGTCGATGACCTGCGAGGGGACCTCGATCAGCAGCCGCGGGAGAGCGGCTTCCCCGGACGATTGCTCGCTCTCCCCGTACACACCACCGTCCATTCTGATCCGGACGTCGTTGCCGAACTCCATACCGTTCACGAAACCTGCACACCATACAACGACAGATTGACTCGTTTAGCGATCAATCTCCCAAGTAAAGCAACAAAAAAAAAAGCAAAGTTTTAATAATTTCTCAAGAACGTAATCATCAAGTACCGCAGTACCAGATCACACGCCAATTCGGCCGAAGCACGGGTGGGCATTCCCGTATGGCGATCCTGGCCATATCAACCTATCCTACCTACAGTTAATCTTACCTGGATTTCTCTCTACTTCTCTACACGCGTTCAGCATGCACCATCAAAACAGTTCACAGCTCGCTAAACGCAAACAACAAGTTTTTCTCCCGTACGCTTCCGGAGTTTCGGGCTCGATTTTGGCTCAGCTCGGCACGGCGCGACCGGTGCTCGATTTATAGAGACGCGCGCGAGTAAGGGGAAGCACGAGGCCGGAATGCACGTTGGCTACGATATTCTCCTTTCCCGCATGCGCGCCGGGGTGTGCTACTGTGGGTGCATGCCAGTGGAGCGGCAGAGCACGCCGCCGGCCGGATGACGGCGACGGGACGGTGACGGCCGTTTTCGTCTCCACTGTTCGTGAAGGTTCAGTGTACCGCCAATAAGCACATCGCCGTCGGCAATGGGAAAAATGAAAAAGAAAAATAATAACAGTTGTCTTTTCTTGTCAAAATTCGACACTTCTTCCTCCTTGACTGAAAAGTAGGAGTAAAAAAAAAAATCTTACAGTCTCCCCTGGTACAGTACAGTACATCAAAACCGGAATAAATCAGTCAATAACTAATCGGCTTGGACAAGCAGGGTACGAACGTACGATCGGCCTCCGTCGCTGGCTCTGCTTGGTTTGACATTATGACATATCGCTAATTCCAAAAGGTTTTTCGTTACAGATATGAGCCCGGAGACCAAGATGAGAATGTGTGGTCCTAGACGGACTCGTGTGGAAACCGAACATGTACGACCGGCTATAGGCGGACCGGCCAGTACGTCCTACACGATTGTGACACACGGACACATCAATCTCAGAGATCGATCACGCTGAGAATATGTAGATCACCAGTACGACTTTTTTGCGGTCGATCTCCCTGACTCCCTGAGCCGCCAGATTACCGGAAAACTAGCTGCTGTTACTATGTGACGCAATAAACTAGCCATGGAAGAAAACAACATGCGAATTAACGTCGCAGTCTAAGCTACGGGGCAGCATTGGACCGACCGAAAGTGTTGAACCGGGACCCTCCCCCAGATGTGACCGAGAGTCCCCCGGACACCACCAAACATCTTGCCTGGATGCTGGGGGTAGGTTGGCAAGCTATCCATCGCGTACACGTCGTTCTTGCACAGCCATATCTGAGCTAGACATGCCCATGCAACAACGAACAGAGAACTGACTCTACAGGACATGAGGACATGGACACCCGTGCTAGAATTAGAGCAGCTTCTAAAACCAAATTAGACCTCTCAAAGCTAGCGCAGGCAAAGATAAACTTCATCTTCTCTACCGACAGGGATGACACCGAAACACGGGAAAACGCCGCTGCAGAGTTCCTAAAATCATACTATACTACATACTCCTCTGCATACTTTACCTTGGGCCTAAGAATCTGTTCGTCAGTGCGACACTCCACGGCAGGATCTCTTACGATGTATGAAGCTGGAACTGGAAGAGGATGAACACAGATGAAAGAGCTCGCAAAGGAAGCAGAGCCTCTAGCCCAGCACTCAGCAGAGGAAGCTGCTTGCTATGTGCTGCTGAGGAAGGTGATAGCCGCAACCGCAGCTCACCGAGTATATATAGAAGTAGTCAAGCAGGGCACCCAGGGTGTCCTCACCATTCTTAATAAAAGACGGAAAAAAAAGAATGGGAGAAAAAAAAATGAGTGACCTACAGAATGAAAAGAGAGAAAAGAATAAGAGGGCGCAGAGACAGCGTGGAAATACAAAAGGTGGCGAGTCAAAGCGCGAGCGAGAGCGCACGCACGGACGAACAACAACCCGCGTACTCCTCGGGGGGGGGGGCCCACGCACAGTCGGGCACAGTCTCCCTCCCCGTGCCCCCGCCTTGACCAATCGCGAGCGACCGTTCGCACCGCGCGACGAAACCACCACCACGTGCTCCCTACGCTTTCCTACGATTCCTCCGCCGCCGTAGCAGCGTCCCCGTCTCCCGTGCATCCGCGAGCGCGCGAGAGAATGAGAGAGATCGCGGCGTAGCCTCTGCTTGCCCGTGTACCGGGCACCGGCCAAGGGGGTACGAGAGGCGACCGCGAGCCGGTTCGTTTCCGAGATGTCACTGGGGCGTCGCGTCGAGGAGGAGGGGAGAGAGAGAGAGAGAGAGAGAGAGAGAAAGGAAAATAAAAACTGAGGGCCGAGGCGCGCGCGCGACCACGACGGCCGAGGCAAACGTAACGTACTCATCGTACCCTCTCCCGAGAATTTTGGGAGGAGAATGCACTGGTGTCCCATCGCCGCCCCCGAAGAAAAATGGGTGAGACTGCTACAGTAACAGGGGCAGTGGAAAGTAGAAACTGAAGCTCTAAGCGATGATGTTTTCAGTTGGATCGTTGGAAAAATATGTAGTGCAAACCACATATACAGTGAACTTCCAAGGTGACGTGGATGAATTTTGGACATCAATTTCTCGATCCAACGATAGTTTCCAAGTTTTCACTGTATATATGGTTTGCACTGTATATTTTCTCTCGATCGTTTACATCGTCCTAGGTTCCCACGACAGCTTTCCTCGCATCTCGCTGCTTCTGACTCTTCTATTATCAGGGATTCAGGGGTGTTCGGAGCAAGTTATCTTTTTGTTAAAAGAAATAATCAAACTTTGAAAGAAAATATCACTTTCGATTATGATCGATACGCAGCTGAACCAGCCGGAGCCGTAGTGTTTTGGGTTATTACTTTAGGGGTGATTGCTTTTTGGACTGATCTGGAATATTGTACATGGTTGATAGTTATTTCGTCTTAATTTGAAAAAAAATAGCAAAACTTTTCAGTCGAGGAAATTTGTGCCTGGGAACAAGGGTTCACGTTGGCTCCAGAAAAATAAGAATAATGTTTTCTTCGTGCCTGCGGCAAACGACGGTCCACGTACATCATTTTAGCCGGACAGGCTGCGTGGTTTCATTAGTCTTTGGCTACATGGTCCCTTATGTCATTTCAAGCTTGAAAATAAGTGAAAGTACGATTAGTGCGTCTGTTGTGAACTCATTCTGCCATTATGTCAAAATTGTGATTAATTGTCCATTCAAGGACAGTTCGGAAAACGTGGGACAAATCTATTCTGATAGCATATAGTTGTTGTACTCTGTCCTACACAATTTTTTTAAAAAATCTTGTTAATTAAGTCCTGATAGGAGCTTTTTTACTTGGTCTTAACCTTGGAGTACATTTTCTAGCTGTTTTTTTTCCGGAGGGGAGGGGGTGTATTTAAAAGTGTTGGTATTTTCAAGAACAGATTTGGGGTAAACTCGATATTATCTGCATATACTGTAGCAGTTTTTTTTTCCTCGGTTTGTCCTGAATGAGCTTTCACTCAGACCCGACCTTAATAGTCTATAGTTGTGTGTTCCATGATGCAGTGGACAGGTCTGTAATCTTCCTCCACTAAATACTTGTGGAAATAGAGAAAAAAAATGTTGCAAGCTCTAGAAGGAAATCAACAGTCTAACAAGGAATTCCAAATCCATCATGAACCAATCCTTTCAATCTGTACCTTGTTCCTAAATGACCCTCCAAACATTCACGTCGCAGTTTTTGTGTGACCAATATTTAAATATGCTGAAGGAATTCCAGCATGCATTCTTTGAAAAACAAGTGGCACACATGAACTCCAATGCATAGGACCTGGAGTACTACTAAGTTAATTAGAAAAATATACATGCCGATTTATTTTCTTTACGGTACTAACTGCAAATGCATAAAAATCAGCGAAGAGTATGTATACCCTGGAGTACTAATTAAGTTAGAAAAATATACATACCAATGTCTCTCCTTTATGGTACTACTGCAAATACATAAAAATCAGCGAGGAGTATATACCGTCCAAAACTTAGTACAAAATTTATATACAACATCAAAAAGAGATGGTTTAGTGTAGTAAGCTAGTATACTAGCTACTCCCTCCGTTTCATAATGTAAGTCATTCTAGCATTTATCACATTTATATTGATGTTAATGAATCTAGATATATATATCTATATAGATTCATTAACAATAATATGAAATGTGGAAAATACTAAAATGACTTACATTGTGAAACGGAGGAAGTAGTATGGATCTACTATGGAGTATATGTCATACGTTACCGTCATAGACGTCGACCAACACAAGAAGGGGACTTATTAATTATTATAGCTTGTATACTTGCTAAACTCATATGAACTGATTAAGCAACTTAAAATCTGCTGGCACTTGTCAGGCCCATATATATTTTTTAATGCTGGAACATAAACAGATCTGGATCAATTTAAATATGAAAGAAGGACCCTTGAGTCGATCCATCTTTGAATTCAGCGGATATAAAAATACGTAGCTCTCCGACCAACCATACGCAAACAAACTATTTGACCACAACGTGAAGCTACTATCTCTAATTAATTTATTCTATGTATTTCGGTAAGACTAGTAGTACTATACGTAGAGACAAGGTGAATGCTACTACTACAGTATCAGAGTCAGACTCCGAAGTCTCCAAGGAGCTTACAATATAATTACTTAAGTATTTTATTAGTCGAAAATTGAAAATGTGCGTTCTCATTAAATATTGTTGCCGAGGTTATTTTAGGCGGCAAAAGCCAGCATGGGACCAATTAGGCTTCTAATTTAGAAGTTACTTAGTAGTTTGCTAGTGCTTTGGCTTTTTAGTTACAAATAAGTATATGGAGTATTTTATTTACGCTGATTCCGGATATCCAAAACATTTTCAGCCAATCAAGTGCTTAAAAGAGAAAAATCATGTAATTTTAAATTTAGCCTATAGTTCTCTTTTAACTTTGAATTTTACTAAATAACCTAGAAATACTATATTTATCTTTAAGAACGGAGGGCTAGCTTTTTTCTTTTTCCTTAGCTGACAATGGGAGCAAGGTCAGCAGCTGAATAGATCCAACCAAGCAAATATATACTCCGGATCGACCTAGCTACATCATCTGAAACATGACTAGTAGCAACAAAAAAATCACCTACCCGTACACTATATAAACATCAGTGGTAGCCGTAGCTTCTATACTAGCTAAGCTAGCGTACGCAGCTAGTTGTGGACAGCTATGACACGGGATTAACTTAAGAGCAATTGCCGTACGATACACTTAACTAGGCTCCAGAGCCTGGAAGTAAACCCAGCACGATCGAGCAAACAGACAACAAGCCGACCAAATCCTTTTGTGAAAACGGACTAATAAATCGAGAACTCGGCAAGCGACAAGCGGGGGCCGTCCTCATCTAGCCATGCATGTATGGTACAATACATACCACAGATAAATTAGAGGTTCACGTCCATGTCTTATCGCGTAAGCAAACGGCAGATAAATTAGCTAGCTATAGCTAGCTTAGCGGCAGAGGAGTTAGAAAAACTGGGGAATGAATGAAGTCAGTAAGTAATATACTTCGGCGTATATCCGTACGTACCTGGCTAGTCGCCGCCCGGCCGCTAGCCTCCAAGCGTAGCCGCCGCTGCTCTGCGGTTAACGTTGACGACGGCGCGGTGCCCTGCCCGCGCGCCAGATGCGCGAAAACGACGCGACCTCGACGACAAATCAGCGACCACCTGCCCCGCTGTTGGTAGCTGGCTGCGTGTGCAGTTCTTGGCTGCTGCTGCTGCTGCTAGCTGCTGCCGGCGCCGCCGCGAGATCGCTAGAGAGATGCCGGATTATGGATGGGATTATTTCGCGGTGAATGCGGAAAGATTTAAGCGAAGCAAAAGGCAGCTAGCTAGTCCGAGCTAGGCAGTGGTCGTAGTGCTTCTCGCACTCTGGGAGCTCGAGACAGGCCGCCGTTTTTATAGGGTAGCTTGGAAAAAAAAGGTGAACTAATTAAAGTAGTTAATTAACTTAAAACGACGAGGAGAAATTGAATTACCACAACTGGTCTCGACGTGTATGGTGGTGTGTATCTGATGTGTGTTTGGGATGGAGGGATGGTTTAATTAGGTCGTGCACGATGGCAGCCATATGCTTGCCGATCCTTCGATCTACTCCTACCTCACGCACAAAAGGAGGATGGGGGGCCCTCTGCTACGGGAGATATGCGTCAGCCAGTCGGCAAAGATAGTGGCCACCATCTTCGTCAGCGGCCATTGGTCAGTGACTTTGTGATCTGAGCTAGTGCCATGTAGGAACGGTCAGGATCTAGCCCCGGCCCCTATACTACCACGCCTGTAGCCTGTGCTCGCGACGAGGCTTCTACTCGGGCAGGTGAATTCCGATCGGCGATCGCTCTTCGATCGGTTGGACACGGACATAGGGCCAAGGAAAGGTTATCATCATCAGTGATTCTTTTTGATGAAGAGGAATCATCGGTGATCCTGACATGATCACCGCCAAGTAGTAC